AAAAAAAAAATAAGAAAAACAACAAGGTAAAATAAAAAAACTTTTAGCTGGAATAGAACCCACATCATCATTGATCCTTGAAAGACGATAAAAGCGTGCTCATTAACCAATCGACCAGGAGTATTACGATAATGACAGTGAAAATGTCGGGTCATATCAATGATTGTAAATAGTTTTAACCTTACCCTTTATTACCTTAACCTGCATTAAATTATAAAAATACGTATACCGACAAAAGAATGAATATACTAATGTGAATGTGGTGGACGAATATTTTTATACACAGTAATATGAAATTACCCACACATGCACACTGTGTAAATGACAGTTGTGTCGATGTGTGGCGCTGCTACTAATTAGCGGTGTTTTGTGTACATTATCAATATCTGACACGCTCGACCACTAGAACAAAAGTTACGCTTAACAATTTCAAAGATCTATAGATTCCCCCTTCCCCCACTGGTGGAAGAAATTGTCACTAAACCATTTCTTCTTTCTATCAGCATATCTTCAAAATCCAGTAGGTCCCAAGGACGCTCAAGTAAATCCCAATTTAGCATCGTGGGCTCCCCTACTATTAGTAAAGTCAATTTTAGTATTATGGTTGGAGGCAGCTGTGGCCATGGTATACTGTATAGTATTATGTCTTTTGTTTGCAAGGAAAGATAGAAGCTCTTGGTATAGAAAACGCAGTTTTAGGTAGTTATGTGAATTTGTTTAAACAAAGAAAAAATTCAGTATAATATACTCCTTTTTGTAATCTAGCCTTTTACATAGAGAAGGCCTATAGTGTAGCAGTGGACCATCTTATTAAAAGGCGCCCATGATCTTCCTGACTCTCCATATCCTATCAAACTAAACCGTTTATGTAATGAATCTCGTGACACAGTGCAAGCTATAGTGCGTTTCCCGCATGAACACAAACACGGTGTCCTACAGCTGTTTACTTCAAGTCTGGATGTTTGTGCTCATGATTTGTGTGTGCACGGAATTCTAGTGCTGGCCCGTGAATGTGAGATGTTTATTTATTTATCTACGTCATAAATGTAGCTGTCGTGTTTATGAGATGTTCCTACGTAGGCAGGTTATAACATTTTTAATAGTCGCTATCAAGTTTATGGGTGAAATCTTTCTTAAGGAGAATTTGGAAGAAAAGTGTGTGAAGCAACATAAAATTACGGTTGTTTTTTTGCTTTAAGTGGATGGCAGGTTTATGTATGTCGACGGTGAGAAATTTGGTGCTGGAGACAGCAATGAGTGTACCTATATCAATTCCATATACGACACGTGGAAAGGCATGAAGAGGGTGATCTTAGTTCTTCGTAGTTATATGAAAAAGGAGCATTTAGAGTTAAGCAACACCATCCGCGACTGAACTCTTATAGCCGTGAATGCTATTGTGGCAGTCGAAAAACAGACTTCAGATTATAACTAAAATCTTAACTTTAACAACGAGGCATTAGCATATTTTGTTATGACCTAAAAAGAACTTAAATTCAAGCAATACTAAGACACTGACAAATATTTGTATTTCACATTATAAATGAACAAAACAAACCAACAACTAAAATGGAATTAATCAGAATCCCTTTAGCCGCAAAACCCATTTCTTTAAACTAATCAATCTTACAAACTACTAAGTTTTCCAAAACTTATAGTCGTTACTGAACAACTTCCAGAATTTGTGGTTTTAGTTTTCGTCCAAGCGAAATGTACAAATGGTGAAAAATTACTTGTTCTTGCTACACTCGTTTTTCTTACTGGATAGGCATTAAGGCTTGTTAACGTACATTTAATTATTTCTACATGGGTACTTTTTCAAACAGAACTATTTGCAAGAAGAAATAGAATTTAAATTCTATTGGCGCGGTTGAATGTTGAATACTCTCTTTGTTTGAACGCTTTCAATGCTTCTCTGAGAACATTTTATCAGAAGTATAGGCGCCCTGAGGATTGAACCCTGAATGCAAATTCTGTACCAACAGCGCAGGTCGATGTTTTAAAGATTGCATTCACACCGAGTATCAATTAGTTTGAAAGTCATTTACAAAGCAGTCTTACGAGAAACCTTTAAACTTTTAAATTCATACGCTTCTCTTGAGAGTCCATGTTTTTCTTTTATCACCGAATTAGCATGAGAATCATGGAAATCCACGTAACATCTTTCGAGTACATCTTTGGCGCACACCCAAAGTTTAGCGTGTAAGCATCCAATATGGAAATCGTATTCAAATTTCTAGACTTGATCAAATTACTCCACTTTGTTACAGGAGACTTGAAACGTGGCAGAACCCGCAACGGATATTTCGAACCCGTCGTCGAAAGATTATCTCGAGAATCGATTCTCGATAATCAGGAACTTGATTCGATTGTTCGATGAGGTCGAATCGATAGGAAGAAACATGATATTGTTGTATGAAGACAAATAAGTGTTAATAATGTGAGTGCTGTAGTTATGGATGAAATTATATAATAAAATAGATGTGGATAATAAATAAAATGTATGGTGCTTCGAACAGGCTGTTTGCAGAGAAGAATCAACAATGAACAAAATGACTACGCTACATTCTGTGTTCGTTTGCATAGCACTGCATTTCATTGGTAAGTGAATATTTTAATACTTCTTGGAGTAATTCCAGACTTGCAGAAAACGGCAAATCTAATAATATTGCACACAATATTTTGAATAATGTCCGAATTAATTTTATGTTCCATTCTCAAATATAATTCATATTTCATTGAATTGAATTTAACTACTGACTTTGTTTTTCCAGTAAAGTAAACGATAAAGCTTGTTTATTCAACTGCATAATATTATTTTGATTATGAAAATTTATATTTTTAATCAAAATCCATTTTTTTGTATTGCTTATTACTTTTTAACTCGTCGAGTACCGTATTTATAGACACAATTAAAGAACAATAGGTTGCGGTCACCGGTGACCGCTTGGTGTTTGACAGTTTAATTAAGCAATATTATTAAATTCATAAGGGCAGCAAATTCATAAGCAGTACTACATGTAGGGTATTTTACAGTGTATTCAGCATATTTCACTTCAGTATTCGAAGAATATGTTAATGACCTCAATTTATACGAGTTCCAATATTATAAAGGTACAAAGAATTAATTCTGGGTATTTTAACAATGTACTGTATTTCGATAAAGGCGTTTTTACGGAAAATTATTATCGCTATGTTCCCGATTCTGATTTTAACATTAAATTGGTCTTTGGCTTATTTTTCAATTAACCAGTATTCTATTATGTTTTCGGCTTACTCACGTAGTAATTTGACTAATTTCAAGTCATGCCAGAGGCTCATATTTCGAGTAGCAGCGCGACAGTCGCCGCGTCGCGGGTCGCGAAATGCTGCTCATGAATATGAGCCTCTAGCATGGCTTGAAACTAGTCGAGTTTCTCGTCAAATTATTACGTGATTAAGCCGAAAACATAATAACCAGTATTTTTTAACAATTTTATATGAATGTTATGTTTTTCTTTTCTTCGAACTTGTATTTAATCAATAAGGCTAATAGTTCCAATATATTACAAACTGTTACTATGTTCAAAGTTACACCCACGTTGAAAATAAAGTAGTACGTTGGAATGAATACGCGAAAAATAAGTTCATTAAAACAAAAACAACGATTAAACCTTCAATTTGTGAACACCAAAGAACTGTTGGTTTCCCAAATACCCCTAGTTGTCCCTAAATTATAACAAAACATCAAAGAAATAGCAAAAAGGTCACCCGCCTACAGAATCACACGAAAATGATCCTTAACGTAATACAGATCCCTACATTTTAAATCTGAACGCGAAACGTGTTCAAGAGTCCGTCGAAAATTCCATTAGATTGATGTGTTATGGAAGCTCAAGCGCCATCTGTACAATATTATTGACGTTGAAAACATTTGCCGCAACATTGCCTACTGAATCGCCATCTACATAATATTTTTGACGTTGGAAACTTTTGACGCTAGATTTTGGTGCCTCATTGTCTCTTATGCACAGTTCGTTTGTAGTCTTGTCCAATAATTTCCTTTGACATTATTTTATGAACAAAAGCTAGTCTTCAACCAAGATGCTATCTCCAAAAAGATTATTTTTTCCAGTTATAATTAATGTTTCACTTGATTTAGATTAATAAGGTCATAATTAGTTTTGTACGGCTGTGTGGTTTTGTTAAGTGGTGCAAGATCTAATCATTTGATAGCTACTGAATGATATGAATCGTTTTGGTAATGGTAATTGTTATTTGTGTGTATAGTGTCGTAATGTTGGAGGCTGTTTTACGACTATTAATCTCTTCGAATATTATTTTCTTTCTTTCATTGATGAAAGATATTGTTAGGTCATTAGTATAGGAGACAATAATTGATGCACACCTTATTAGGCAGTAAAATATTTTACTCAATTCAATGCTATTACTTACAAAATTAAGCTTACGAGACTCAAAGGATGTCCATACCACAGACATTATAGAAATTATTTCCATAAAATTCCACCAAAATGTATTATATCCAGTCATCTATATTATATCCAGTCAATTTTGTAAACCTCCTGCATGTATGTATCTCAAATATCGGTTTTCCTAACACAAAATACTACAAATGCTAAACTCAAACGTTGCATAACATGTGAAAGTATAAAGGAGAACATTCCGAAAGTGTGCAAAGCTTCCGCAGCAAAATATCGGATAAAAGATATTGCAGCGCATAAGTAGTTGCAGCTCACTCTTCCATACATCGAATTTTTCAAACCGTTCAATACGTTCATGGAGAAGCATCCATTATATTCGTATTTGCTCCACATTCGAACTTACGAAACAAATGTCTCCTTGCTTATATTTTTGAATTCGTTCCATTTTGTTCCATTGTTTTTTTTTCTTCCTTAACATTATCTCGGATCGTTTCAAGGAGATCCAATTACGAATGTACCATTGCTTTGACAGGTCCACAACCGAATTCTAATTACGCAGATGAAGACACGATAAAGATCGATCTAACGAGACCAATGTCCCTACCTTCACGATCTTATTATTCTAACACAAAAACAACTCACATAATATTATTGTTCGCCAACAATTCTTATTTACCGCAAACGTCTTCTTTTATTTGTTCTATTTCATCAAATAACATTGATACATTTCCATAATAAGGACTGGCAGAGCGAATCAATTCTTCAATTACATCATCCTCCCACGGAATCGAAATATCTACCAGTAAATTCATAGTTATGTTTATCCAAGCTTTCTACTTAATAAGTCCGACAAAGGAATAGGAATTGTTTATTGCGCCATCGTAAACAGAGCGTTTATTTCGTTACATTTATAAAGAGATAATTCAGACCCTATGCTCAAGGTACTGGGGAAATAAAAACGTTTATTCCTTATTTTGTTTCAGTGTTAAATGTTTTAGAAGATATTAGGAGTATTTGTGAAAATGGTTTAGTGTTTTTCCTATTGTTTTCTTCTTGAATTTAATAATAATACTAAAATGTTGGAGTTTTGTTCTTTGTTGTGAACGAGATAAGAGAAGTTCATTTTTAACACAAACACTGTTGGTGAAATAATGGGCTGAGATACATTGTATTCTGAAACATTTGTAAATTAGAATGCCTCGTTGGCTGAGTTGCAAGTGCGACTGCCGGTCAAGGGGTCTCGGGTTCGATTCCCTGGTTGGGCAAAGTAAAACTGGGTTTGAAAAAAATGTGAATAGTAGCACGCAGTCCGGGTGCCCGGTATATGACAATAGGCTCACCCCCTATTACATACATGGGACACGTAACATAAACAGTGAAAAGTGGGTGTTACATTCTACAGTGGTATAAGTGCTATAATGTACCTCTGCCAACCCCTTCAGGGATAAAAGGGCTAATGTTATGTTATATTATAAATTAATGGAATAAAGGTGAGGAAAGGAGTCCACAGATATGGAGACAATACTCTCTACAATAATTCGCCCGACCTGGGAACTAAAAACTTGACACTTTAGCTCAGCAGTCCATCAATTGTAACTAATTTGTAACTTTCAAGCTATCGAGTCAGGCGCAATTTACTATGAATTACACAATAAAGCAATTACAACCTCATTTGCGAAATCAAGAACTTAACATTTCTTAATATACAAAATAACCTTAACAGTTCTTACTTCAAAAATTCTTTTTAACATTTTTGAGAATAATTTTGCATACTTTTAGATAATAAACCGCTTAATCTTTGGAGGTTCCGACTTGAGGTCATAAATCGTCGAGGTGGCTCAGAAGAGGTATCCTTAGGTAATCTACCTACCTGTTAAATGTGATTATTATATTTTCTCTTCGTGTGTGGGTCAAACAAATACATAATATTTTTGTCTCTTGGGCTTTTCTCAATTATGTTTGGGCTCTGAGTTTTTGCGGAAGGTAAGGTTGAGTTTTTCTTCTGTACTTACTTATATATTTTTTTTATTACTGGCTATATTATCGTCTTAAATTATTTGATATGAAACACTTTTTTTATTTTCCATTTAGTTTTATTTAGGGTTTTGGTTAAAATTAACAAATCAAACCCATTGTTCCTTATAACTATTGTTGTTGTATGTGTTAATACACATAGTACTTATCCTAGTTGTTTATGTGAAACACTTTTATGGATATTAGGTTTCATTTGAACTGATAATATACACTTTATTGATCAGTAGTACGTACGTAGGTACGTTACCATACAAGCGGTATGATTCCTTATAATGGATGGCAAAATTAATGTCAGATTTTTGTACCCAACTTCTTTGATAATGGCGTCCATAACTGTGAATTACTAAATAAGATACTCGAAGGCTTGTCTTTGTTACAAAAGACGTCACGTATGAAACTATATTTGATTTTTTATTCTCACAATGAACCTAGGTTTAAATCTAGATACAAAGATACAAAACCATAAAGTTAAAAGAGCAACCCTTATAAAAATAAAATAATGTTAACGTCTGGTCTTTCAGTCCAAAAATATATTTCGGTGAATTTTCTTAAACTAGTTACTTCAAAGGAAGAGACAATTTAGTGTTATTATGTATACTTCATATAATAATTTGCTGTCTTTATTGTATGATTCGGATTATAATAAATAACGATTTTTTAGTTAAAGAAGATATTTTTATTTAGTTAAGTAAAGGAGGACAATTCTCAATTCAACCATATAGTGATATTTTAATTTACAAGTTAATAAATTCAATACGTTTGTATAATTATTAATTTTCTTCTAATACCTTATTAATGTAAATTATATCGACCTATGGTATTAAAATCATTTTCAGGACCCTGTCTCCGTACCAAGACTAATATAATACAGTTCGTAATTTTAAATAGAACAAAACAAAAATAAAACCCTCAAACACCCAGTACAAAAAACAAAAGCCCCAACTAAAAAAGAAAACAAAAAAGCATCGACTATCGTCATGAATATTTTTTGTTCCAGAATTAAAATAACAGTATTTTAACTGTGATCCATTTTTGCTCTCGAAAGATCGTGTCAACACATGATTACGTTACCAGGCAAACAAAAAAAAAAACAAATTGAATTCCCTGGTCATATAAAAATACAATATAAACGGACAAATCACCATT